TATATATATATATATATATATATATATATATATATGTATGTATATATTATATATACCATATTCTTTTTTATCACTACTCTAAATATGAAGTAACAACAATATCAATATAATACTTTCTCATTCAACAATATAAGAGTAATATAACACATCTGTACTTATATCTACTTGCTATTTAGCATATTATATTTGCTTTCCAGCAAAACACATGTAACACAAAGTGATATAAAACAATAAGGTGTTTAATATAGTGCTCACAATAATGCAACATAACACAAATATGCATGAAGAAAATTGTTTTCTAGCAAAAGACATGGGTGATATGAAATAACATAATGTTCGACACAATGCTTTTCTACAATACAAAAAATATATTTAGCTCTTCAGTTCTGTACTTGTATATTATACTTGTATTATGTTATCCAGTAAGATATTATTGTGTCAAACATTGTATTATTTAATGTCACCTTTTGTTAGAAAGCAGCCTTCTTTAAATGTGTATACTTGCGCTATATTATGTCATTATTAGAAAGCATTGTGTCTAACCTTGTTGCTTTGTGTCAATTTGTATTATCTTTTGTTTGAAAACAACATTGTTAAATTCGAAATTATAAAATTGATATTACACTTGCTATTGACTAGGATTGTATTTCAACATTCACTGCCACTGAAAATTTATATTATATAGTACATTATATAGTATTGTATATTAGTATAGTATCCCAGATAGCCAAACCTGTGCGAGCAGATTTTACGCAGAGTCTGTCAACAGTATCTGTTGACAGAATGGCAACAGACTGCACACAGAAACTGTTTTAGCAGTCTCTGACGACAGATTGGTGACAGACTGCGCGCAGAGCCTGTCGACAGAATCTGACGACAGACTGACGGCAGATTGCGCGCAGATTCTGTTTCCTAGATAGGCTATTTAATTCTATTAAGGGCCATATGTATGTTATTAAATGGGGCAGTTTCACATACACACCATGCTGCAGAGAAGTCAAGATAATTATATTGTG